AAATTACATATTTGTAAGGTGATTTGCAAACTTTAAGGGGTTATATAAATGCTAGCTATTCCATAAGTGCTAGCAATTATTATCAATACTTGGTTTTAATAGCTTTTATAGCCAAAAACAAAAGATACCTTACAAAGATAATGAAGATCCAAATGGAAGAAGGACATGGTTGGCTGTGCTTACTAAATCATATCAATCTTTTTTCAGTCCTATTCACCAATTATGAAAGACTTGCATTGATATTTGGTTAGCAAATTTCCACCTTCCACAATGTCAGTCAGTTGTTCTTACACGCTAATCAGAAGGTATTGTATTTTTATATACACTATTTAACAAATGGGTTTAAAATCCACTGAAACTTTTCATTTGGAAGATTTTGAAATAGGTTAAAAAATTCTGTCTTAAGTTTTTAAAGTGTGCAGATAGGAAAGTTTTGCTAAATTTAGCAGGGGAATAGGACCTTCCTCACTTTCTCCTAACACCATGAGGGTAGCTTCCAGTGGAACACTTTGGCTGTCAACCTGTCATCCAACCCTTGTTCTTGTCATATGAACAGCTCAGCTTCTCTTTGTGTCTTGAGAAATCTTTTCTCAAGGATATCTTTGACTCCTATTTTTTTCACAGTTTATCATTGGGTGTATGGTGCAGCCTGACTACATCCACTGTACATGTCATTGCTGCCCTCTGGGCCATACCCTCATTTTTCAGCAAAGGCCATAGTGTTCCCATGTTTCTCTGCCACATAGCAACACTAGTAATATCTTGCAGCACGATAAAATCTTAGGGCAAAGTTAATCATTAACTATACTTAATGTAAACCCATATTTCAAATTACTTGGTAATTTGATTTCTTTGGACTAACTTCTCATCAGATCATAATGGTTTTTACACATTATATGGGTGACAAAGAGCTCATAGTAGGATTAAGCATCCGTTCTACATTTTCTTTTTGTCCTCTTTTATTTGGATCATTGGCATTACTTTCTTTTAAAAGCAATTTTATTGCTACATTTTATTTTTACATTTTCCCTCTAGCCTCCTCTTCCCTCCCAGAGAGCAACCCCATATAATAAAGAATATTTTTAAAGAAAAGAAAAAGTATTATTTCAAACCATGGCTTCTTTGCAGGAATCTTTTTAAGCCACAAGCCCATTTTGTGAGGGTTAGTATAATTAAAACTAGATAACATAATACATAAATCCACTTAATCAGGAACATGTAAACTGGAATACATTGGAACATGCTGAAAGCAAACAAATAAATGAGGGCAACATTATCAACCTCTCCTCCCATTCTCTCAGCTACATCTATTCAATAAGGGCTTCTTCTTCTCCCTTCTTCCTTCCCACTATTTACTCCTTTACTTCAGTCTCTGATAAAGAGATGGCCCTTCTCACAAAGGACCTCATGAATACCCCAATCCCATTTCCTCCTGTCATCTCCAGCAAAGTGCCTTCATTAACATCCCTTCTCTCACTATAAACTTCATTCCCAATGTACTGGTTCCTTCCTGCTGCCTACAAACACACCCAAGTCTCGCCTAACCTTTAAGCTCTCACTACCATCCCCAAAACTACTGTCCTTATCCCTCCTCTCTTTCTCATTCAAACTCTTTGAAAAAGCCAGCTACACGAACACCTCACAGCATATACCACAATAAACTGCAAATATAAAAGGTCTTGTCATAAAGAAATCTGAGGAAAAGGCAAAACAAATAGGAATAAGGGGATTTATCAAACAAGGTATAAAGAGAACAGATAAAATAGACAATATTTATTTATTAAATTGAAAAGCATAAACAAAATCAATGCATTTAGAATTAGAAGGGAAACAGTTAATTTGCAAAAAAAAAAATTGAAGCAAATTTCTATCATAAAGGTCCAATATCCAACGTATGAGGTAAATACACACACACACACACACACACACACACACACACACACACACACACACACACGAACCTTTGGTCCCCAAATGCTCAAATATGAAAAGGCAGTCTTCAAAAGCAATTCCAGCTATCAACTATATAAAGACAATACTTCAAATCACTAATAATAATAGAAATGCAAATCAAAACAAATCTGAGCTATTATAGCCATCTAATTAGCTATAATCAACAGAGCTTTAGCATTAGAATTGGGAAAGGCTTCTTGCAGAAGGTGAGGCTTCAGGAGGCAGCTAGGTGGTGCAGTGGATAGAGCACCTGCCCTGAAGACAGGAGGGACCTGAGTTCAAATCTGGCCACAGACCAAACACTTGCTGCTTATTAGCTGTGTGGCCCTGGGCAAGTCACTTAACCCCAACTGCCCTAAAAAAAGAAAAGGAAAAAAAAAAAGTGAGACTTTAGCTGAGATTCAAAGGAAACCAGGGAAGTCAGGAGGCAGAGATGAAGAGGTAAAGAATTCCAGTTTTGGAATAGCCAGTGAAAATAAAGTCAGAGGGTCTTTAGTTCAGGTGTTCTTTGGGCAGGATCACTTTTGTGAACTCTGAGATTTTTTTATGTTAGGGTGGAGTTAGGGAAAGTTATATCCTTTCTGATTAGTACAAGAAAACCTCAAAGATGAGCTAGAATTCCAGAAGCTACTTAAACAACAGTCTAGCTAGAAATAGCTTGTCAGGCTGGGCATGAAGCATTCAGGTATACAATAAGGCTTATGGAAAAGGGTGGGAAAGTAAAAAGAGAGAAAGTGGGTGACAGTGATTTCAAATAAATAAATAAATACCTATTCTCTATCGGTGATGCCTAAGGGCACTGAGGCAAAAATCATTGATATGGTTTCAGAAGCCAACCTGTTAGCAGCTAATTTTTCATTTTTCCTGCCCAGCTGCCTGCATTTGAACAGTTAATCATCTGAAATACTTTTGATGGATTCCTCTGTGGATTTATCTGTGTGGGTTTCATTTCCAAACTCATTCTATGGATTTGATTTCCAAATTCTGGTTTTCTCAGATGGCACCATCCTAAGCTATTAGAAAGGGAGGGCTCTAGGAAGAACTCCCACAAAATGGGGGTTCATCTGTCTTCTACTTGCTCCCCTCCAATCCCACCCATAGTCTGTCACTTATATCCAACTCCTTAGCTGAAAACTTTATTTGAGGTTAATAAAGACTAGAGTTGGTGGCAAACAGTTTTTATGCTTCTAGTTTGTGTGTGGAAACTGGAGTCCCTAATATTGGGTGGAGACAAAAAAAGCTTCATTCTAGATAAAAGAGGAAAAAGTATTAATGAAGTCTCACATTGCATAACCCTGCAGTGCCACCTACAGATAGTGTGTGTCACAGAGAGGTGGGACTAAGGAGAAGGAGGAGGAGGATTTCAATCTTGAGCCAGCACCTTAGAGGGTGGGAGGAAGGGTAGGCTAGGGAGATTGAGTGGAAGGAAAGGGGAGGTGTGAAAACATGGATAATACTAATCTACCAGTGGTTTACTGGGTTTGGGACAGGGGAATGTCTGTAAATGTTTAATGGAAAATAAGAGTAGGACTGGTTCACACTGCTCAATTGATGTCAGTCCTTCCAAAGAACCATCTTTAAAGGGAAGGAGAAAGGACAAGAAATATAGAAAGAGGAGGAAGAGAAGAGGAAGGAAAAGGAGGGGGGAAAGGGCAGCATTATGTAACCACAAGGAATTGACTTTCTCTCTCCTACCTCTTACTGTCCCCCTTTCTCCCAACCACATGATACTTTAGGCTACTATGACTCTTACTTTCATCCTAAAAGAAACTATTATGAATACAATGCTAGTCTGGGCTAATACTACAGACATAATGCAGCTACATGTTGTTTCTACAGAAGATAATATAATAGGCAAGTTATCTCATCTCAATGAAACTTAGATTCTTTATCTGTAAAATCAGAGAGTTGGAATAGGTGATCTCTAAGATTCCTATCAGTTCTAAAAGTCATTGAGGGCAGGGGCACTGTCTCTTATTTATTTCCCCTAGAACAGAGTCCCTTAACCTGCGATCCATTAATTTAAAAGACAGACAGACAGACAGATAGATAGACAGATAGATAGATAGATAGATAATGTTTCAATATAATTGGCTTCTTTTGTGATTCTATGTATTTTATTTATATATTTAACATTATTTTGAGGACTCCATAAGCTTCACCAGACTGCCAAATGGGTTCATGATACAGATAGACTAAGAACTATATTTATTATCCTGGAGGAGAGGGAATTTTGGAAATGGAAGTGTCTGTGTCTCTGTCCACACCCAGAAGTGGCAAATCTGGATCTGCAGGACTAGCTGATGTCTTGGACCCACCCAGGATTCCCATTCCTCCTGCTCCCTCAGTGCTGTGTGTGTTTGGACTGACAACAAAAACACAACCCAAGACAGCTCTATAAATTACCACATATCAAATGTTTCACAGAAAAAGCTGGAAGGAACCTTCCAAATCACCTAGTCCAATCCCTTGGAATAAAGAATCTCTTCCTAATTCCTGACAAATGCTCATGCAACCGCAGTTTGAACACCTCCGTTTAGTTCTGCGAAGCTTTCTACTTTCAGAAGCAGCCAGCTTCACTGTTGGTCAGCTTTAGCAATAGGGAAGACTCCCTTTGGGTTCAGTTGGATTAGGTGACCTCTGAGACACTTTCAACTCTGATATTTTGTGACTGGAGAATCCTACCATTCTATGACCTAGTAAGCTTGTCAGGCAGTGGAAAAGAGAACTGACCAAGAAGACCTAGATTCAAATTCCACCTCCTAAAAGTATAAGTCTGTGTGGACCCAGGGAAAGTTACTTAACCACTCAGCGATCAACTATAAGTCTTCGAGAAGGGAACATTATCACTGGTAGAAGTTTCCTTAACCTGTATATTTCCTATATCAATGAAATTACAGGTCCAGTGTCTACCCTCTAGGGCAGGTTCTAGTGTTCCAGTTTTGTGTCCCCAGTGCTTAGAACACTCTTGTACGTAGTAGTAGGCTCTTAATACATGCTTGTTGACTACTTAGTAAGCTGTCTTAAGTTAAAGAGAAATCGCCTACCTGATCTTTCCACCCGTTGGTAGTCGATAACACCAAAATTTGAGGCTAATAAAGTGATGCAAAGAGCATTGGACCGTGGTGTAGTGGAAATAGTGCTGGATTTGGAGTCAGCAGTCTGCCATTTCAGAAACCTCTCAGATTTGGAAAATTCCCTTAACTTGTATGAGCTTAATTTCCTCATTCATAAAATGAAAGGGCTGGTCTCTAAGGAAGAGTCCAGCTCTGTATTCTCCTTTCAGGAGGATAAGGGACCCCCAGAGGAGGACCGTAGGAGAAAGGGAGCAGCACTTAAAGCTACAACCTCATCGGGAAAGCTCTGAGCACAACTAACTAAGCCGGGGGGAGGGGGGAGAAGCGGACGGGACGGAAAAGCGCCTGGAACACTATGAGCCCGAGCCGCAGAGGGGGAGGAGACACTTAGGAAGGACGGACCGGAAGCGGGAAGGGGGAAGTTTGAGCCGACGGAACGCCAACACGGAAGTGGTCGGGCTCCTGCAGTCAGATCCGGGGATGGATGGAGCCGGAGGCGGCCGTAGCAGCTGAGTAGAGGAATGATGAGGCTGAGGATTGCGCTGCTTCTCCCCCGGGAGGCCCTGTAGCCGGAGGGGGGACAAGGCGCCGGGCGTGGGACTCTCCTGCTTCGGGCCCCTGGAGGGAGGAGGACGAAGACCCGGGACGTCGGGGCCGGGAGCCCGGCTGGGCTCTGACAGGCCCGTGGACGGGCTCCGAACGATCTGGAGGGGCCAGGCCCGGCCGGGGCTCCCTGAGGGTGACCCGGGACAGCCCCGAGAGGGGCGGGGGCTCGGCCAGAGACCTGGGGTTGGGTGGGAATTAGACCCTTAGAAATCCAAGCTAGGATTTGGGGAAAGAGTGGGCGGGGGACCTCCCCCTAGACCCCCTTCCTGCTCTTCCCGTGCCCCTTGAGGGGAAGGTGGGGAAGCTTGAGGGGAGGCGGCCCCGCAGGGTCCGAGGAGGCCCCGAGTTCTGAGGTTCGGGCCGAGGCTCTGAGTGGGGGTCCCCGACAGGGAGGCGTGCAGGGTTAAGCATGGCCACCCGGCGTTTAACCGACGCTTTCTTGTTGTTGCGGAACAATTCCATCCAAAACCGGCAGCTGTTAGCCGAGCAAGTGAGTAGTTACACCTCCTCCACCTCCAGCCCTCTGCATTCACGTAGCGTTGCTGCGGTGAGTCTCCTGCCGGCCTCCTCCACCTGCCCCCCGCGGCGCCCGTACTCCGCGGCGTGCGCGCTCTCTGTCTCTCTCTGTCTCTGTTTCTGAGTGTGTGTCTCTCTTGAAATGTCGTTCGTTGTCTTGTCGTTGTTAGGAGGCATCAGGCTGTAGTGCTGGGTTTTGTTCTGAAACCTCCCCTCTCGCCATCTCCCCCTCCTCTCCCTTCCTCCACTTCTCTTCCTCCGGGCCTTTCCTTCCACCTTTTACAGGGCTGCCCTCGCTCGGGACTCGGACAAGTTCCTCCTCCTGGGTCCTGCTCAGTTTTGAAGCACCGTGTTTGATGCTTCTTGAAGCACTGTGTTTCACGCTTTCGTGGCTTCATGTTTCTGCTTGTTATTTTCCACCCTCACCCCCTCCTCCTCAGTTACCTAATCCGCTGCCTTTTCGTTCTGATGCCTCTCCATTTTGTCCAACAGATTTTCTCTTTAAAATGACTCTGTAGAATGGAGTCCTTTTAGCCTCATTTTTTCCCATGAGGATTTTCCATTCCTGTGTGGCAGTCGAGCCTCTTCTTGCTTTATGCTATTAATAATTTTTCCCTCTTTCCTGAAGAAGACAGTTTTGTGAAACTGTAATGTGGGGGGTGGACGTCCCTGCTTTCATTTTCCATTCAGGAAATGAGTCTTTCCTTTCATTCTGACTACCATTCACATGGTGTCTGTGTGGGAATAAATCTAATTCTGGCACTTTTTTTTAAGCCTGGACTATTAGCCGAGCAGTCCAGTAGATTTTCGAAAGTGAATCCTAGCTTATGAGTTTAGATTTATTGGTAGAAACAGTGTTTTTAAATTAAAATCTAGTAATGGTATTGGTGGTAATGTTATGAGAAGACATGACTCAACTCTTACAAATACTTAGGAACTATAGTTTAAACTCACAGGCTTGGAAATGCCACATTAGAGACTATTACTGGAAACTTGTTCTCCTTCAGAGACCCCTTGAATTTTACTGAGATCGCTACTAGTTTCCTGAAAATGTATTTCATATGGGGATTATTTACAAAGTGACTCCATAAGAATATACTCAACCCATTCTTTATTGATTCATAGGCATAGAAAAAGAGACCTGTTTTTGAGATGAAGTATGAATTTGTTTTATGAGGAGTTAGATTTGAGATCAAATAGGCCCAAGTACCAAAACATGCAAGACCTGCTATATTTGCATATACGTATTTTGTTAGGAATCTGAAAACTATGATCTTTGGAGATGGTGTTGTTAAGTCAGATCTGACTTTAAGTGACCCCATTTGGGCTTTGCTGGTCAAAGATGCTGGAGTGGTTTGCCATTTCCTTCTTCAGATCATTTTACAGATGAAGAAACTGAGGCAAACAGGGTTAAGTGACTTGACCAAGTCATACAACTAGTGTCTGAGGCTGGATTTGAACTCCTGAAGATGAGTCTTCCAGATTCCAAGCCCAGATTTTAGAGGCGTGCTGTACTAAATATCCTATTCGGCTTAGTTTTCCAGGGTCTGGCATTTATTAGCTTTATGATCCTAAGCAAGTTGTTTAACCTTTAGTTACTTCAGGCAAGCCTTAGGATAAATTTATTTTGTAATCTGCATCAGTGGAGAGAGCTTCCACATAATGGGTTATGTATGCCTAGGAAATCGTATATCCTTCACCTGTATTGATATGCTCAGAAAATAAATCTTATGAATTATTTTAAAAATACAATCTTGAAAAAGGCTAAAGATGTTTGATAGTATAGACATGGAATCATTCAAGCCTTAAATAGGGAAAGTTAGACTGGAATAACTCAGGAAACTGAGAAACAATATATCGATTACCTATTTCTGTTTATACTTTAACAGAACAAATTGTTTAAAAGTTATTGTACCTTCATAATGGACTAGTAATGAAATAAGGCTGTTTACACTTTGTAAGTACAGCCATTTCCCACCAGGAAGTCATACTTTTCAAAGTAGTAATAGTACTGCTAATAAAAGCATAAAGCCCTAATAGAAAAAATAGCTTTGAGAATAGTAGTATTTACAAAATTTTCAGTTTTCTCTAAATTTTTTTCTAACGTGGGAAATGAAACTGGAGAGGAGGCGTGGTAGGATAGAAAGAGCACAGTTGTTTAGGAGTCAGACAGCCTAACCCTAGACTTTACTCTGCCACTAACTCAACAGTGTGGTCTTGGGCAGATCATCTCTCTGAGCTTCACTTTCCTTATCTGTGAAGTGAGTGATTAAGTTAAATTATTTCTGAGGTCTTTGAAAGTCAAAAGTTCTTTAATATTAATATCTCTTCAACTCAGGATTTAAGATAATCAAAAAGCGTTACCATCTTCTAGGTTAATAGCCCTATTCTGAAGTGCCAGATGTGATTTGCACTTTGATTTGTTATATTCCTTTGTTTGAAAATCAAATACAGTAAGTGGTCACTCAAGAACAAGAAGATGTGCTGATTAAAATATGAAGTTATGATTATTGGCTAAACTTGTCTTGGTCATGAATAGAAGGAAGGCTTCCTTCCTGACCAGCAAAAAATCTTAAATATTACTTTTTTACATAAAAAATAATTAGATCTTATTATAGTGTGGCACTATGTGCTCTGTCTAATATTGTAGAACTAATAATATGGTTAGAATGTATATTAACTCTTGTTGATTTTTTCCCCCAGCAACACAGATACAAGTATCACCTTCGTTCTTTCCTTCTCTCCCTCCCCATCCCCAACCCCCACACACTTTCTGAGTTGCTTGGGTGAAAATTTTACATGAAAGCCAACTTTTTAGTAGTGAGCCTCTCTAGCTAGTCTGGTCCTCAAAAGGAAGACAGAGACATAGTACATCACCAAACTTTTCTCAATTTTTTTTCCAGTTTGTTAAGAGTTGCCAGAACTTGCCCTCCAAAATCTTTGATTAACCTTCTTACAGGAATGAAACATTGAAGTAGGATTTTAGGGGAGAAAAATGTACACTAAATTTTATTTTAATTGAATTTCTTTTTTTTTCTAAGAGTAAGTTGAAGATTAAAAAGAGAACTTTAACTTCCTGTAATTTCATCTTATTTAGTTTTTCTGCAGAGTATTTAGCTTTCTTCAAAGTTCAGTCGAATGCCCTTTCTAATGACTTCTGGCCACTTCACTAATAGACCAATTTCCAAGAAACAGTGAATTACAAAATGGTAAAGACTCCTTTCCCAAAATTAACAGCTAAGTATGAAAAATTCAACAAGGGTTAATTATTTCAATATGCCATTTATAGTTTCTATGAACAGTACTGAAAAAGCTCTTTAAATTTGCTGAGATGTGTATTAGTGCAAGAGACAGCTCTCTATGCTCATCTTAAAAAAGATGAGCAGTTCTAGATTAATGTTCTGTTAGGGCTGGGATTTTTTCCCTTTGCTTCTAAATATGTGCTTAGTGACCAAGGGCTCCCAACCCCAGTAGAAATGGTTTTCATTGTTTTTACCATCCTGTTTATGTCTTTGAGAAAGGGTTGGCTCTTAGCATCCTCATTCCATAAATAAGACTGTATCATTTGATTTGTGTAGTGTCTTATGTATATAGACACTTAATAAATATTTGTTTTCCAGATTTGAGGACATTTTTGTGAGCTCTTTAAAAAAATATTTACGGGGATTATTTCCATGTTAAAATGTAAAATTGTTTTATTTCTGATGAGATCACATTTTGTCATTTCTTCATTATAGGCAATTTTACAATGTAACCTTATCTAGCTGATATTTGAATGTCAATGAATATGACAAATAAATTTTAATAAAATAAGTGTGGGGTTTTTTACCTTCTTTTTATATTTCGTCTTTAGAAATTTGTTGCTGTTGCTATTTTTCCAGTGACCAAAACAGCCACCATAATCTGTGTAAATGAAAATGTAGTTTTATATAGCTTGACTATAGTTCAGAAATGTAGGATTTCTCTTTTTACTAATTTTTTAAACAAAAATGCCTTAGTTTGTGGAACTCTGTTTTTGGTGAAATGAGTTAAATCTACTGAAGAGTTTTTTTTTCCTTCAAAACTGACCATGCTCTGTCTGTCTGTCTCCATCCTTCTCTTTCTCCTGCTTTTTGCTTTCTGTAACTGGATGGGACTGATGGGAACAACATGTCACTTCAGGAGCTGGATGAGGTATTGTGTTTTGAATGTTTTTGAAAGGTGATTAATTTCAGTTTGTAAAAAAACTTCCCTGTTGCTTTATGTACAGTGCCAGTGGAGCTGACATTTATCTTTAGTCATACTATCTTTATTCTCAAAATGTACTGTCTTTTTGTTATATTCCATACTACCACATGGTAGATTCCACCTTAAAGTCAAAAGAAATGGTATACTTGATTGCATTTGGGGAGCATTTCTTTGTTATAATCGAAGTATATTACTCAATCAACAAGCATTTATTAAGTGCTACAGGGCCAACGCTGGGGATATAAAAGCAGAAGTGAAACAGTTGTTGGCCCCAAGGAGCTTATGTTCAATTCTATTATAAGTGGGGCTAATTTTATGCTTCAAATTTGATAATTTGGAAAGATATACAAATATACTTCAATTTAAGAAATCTTTATTCAATAGGTAGAAAATTTGGATTTTCAAAACATACATTAAGAAGTGTTTATGAAGCTGATACAAGGATTTGCTATTAATTACTAAGTTTTCCTAATATATTCAAAATAGACATTTTATACAGATCTGATGTGAAAGTTTTTCAGAGGTTACAGTATAAATCAAATTACATTTGTAGTTTTGGTAAACCAAATTAAAGGCCTTTTAAAAAAAAAACACCAAGGACTATTCAAGTCACTTGCTGTTTCTTAATTGTTAGAATAATAATAGCTTACATTTATATAACACATTTAAGATTTATCTTTCTTCATGGTAATACCATAAAGTAGTTGGCACTATTTCTCTTTTCACATGAAGAATCTAATGATCAGAGAAGTAAGTAACCTGCTCGTGGTTGCACAGCAAGTAATTGTCACTGCGGAGACTTGAAATCACATCTGATGATTCTTAAATCAGACATTTTTAATGCTTCACCATAAATAGAATCTGTCCTGTTTGATTTGACCACAATTAAGCTGTTCTCCCCAGCGTGCACTCTGCAGTCCAGTGATTCTAGCCGTTTTTCTTTTCCTCATATATAATACTCTATTTCTAGACTCCTTGCTTTTTCACCAGCTGTCCCTCCTTGCTTAGAATGCTCTCCCTCCTCACCTCCACTTCCTGGCTTCCCAGGCTTCCTTCAAGAATCACCTCAAATCTCCCCTTATATAAGAGGTCTTTTCTACTCCCCTCCCCATTGCTAGTATCTTCCCCCTGACATTATTTCCCATGGACATTATCTTGTAGGTAAGTAGCTTTTTTCATGCTATCTCTCCCATTAGAATGTGAGTTTTTTGATTGTAGAGGCAGGTTTTGCCCATATTTTGGTATCCCCAACATAGTGCCTGGCACATAGTAAGCAACTCAATAAATACTTGTTGACTGAGATAGTATGAAAACATGGATTTCCCAGAGAGATCTTTTCAGCCCTCTCCCCTATGTGTTTACTTTCAGTGTGACAATAAAACTTAATGGAAATTTTAAAGTGAATATAATGGCAACTAAAAAATACATTTTGCCAGAAGGCAAATATGCACAAAGATAAAAACCTGTAGAAATTTTTTAATAAAAATTTTTGTGACTTTAAGACTTGGAAATTGTTATTAAAAGATTTTTAATTATTATAGCACATATAAAGGAATTTTGTGTCATTTGTTTTCCCTTTTTCTTGATTGGCAAAAAGCAATACACATGCTTATTTGATCAATTTTCCATTGTAATTTTAAAAATGTACAGACTGCTGTCTGTAAGGGATATCTTTTCCTCCTTTTGGCTATCATTCAGGCTTTTTGAGTATTGTACAATAGAATCATAGATCAAGAAATATTCAATATGAATCCTCTCATTTAAACAGAAGAGATGGTTGTCAACAAAGTTTCTAAGAAGCATCATATTTTTTTAAATGCCAATAAGGACTGTTGGTAGCATTTCTAAAGTACTTAAAAATCAAATCAAAGGTGAAAATATTATATCTGGACATAAAGTAGAGGAGGGAAATTACTTTAAATAGAGCAAACATAATTCTTAAAATCTCTAAAGGGCCACAGTGTCAGATGTTAACAAGCTATAACCATATGATTTATAACTGAGATAACTAAATTAGCCCTATTTTTTTTAATTGCCCCTTTCTGTATCAAAGTCTTTTTTTTTTCATTTGGTTTTTATAGTTATATAAATTGTTACAACTCATGGCACAATGGAAAGGCATTCTGCTATGAAATAATTCTAATAGCTTGGTTTTTTTTGAAAAGCTCTTCATTAATTTTTTTGTTATGTATCCATAAGGAAACTAGGATCCTTTCTTACCCAGATGAAGTAAAATTTACATTCACCTATGTGTCTAAGGAGACCTACAACACATGTAACTGTAACAGAGGGAGAGAAACCATTCCAAATTGTAGCAATGTTTGTTCAAATACACATTTCTTTGGTATGTTCATTTTCTCCTAGTCTCCTGTGTCTTTTTAGGGGCGGTATTTTAAAAAGAGTACGCGTGTACTTAAAGACAAATTTTCGTATGAGTTTTGTTTAAAATAGGTGTTTTCTCTCCTTAGCTTGCTGATGATCGTATGGCACTGGTGTCAGGCATCAGCCTAGATCCAGAAGCAGCAATTGGTGTAACAAAACGGTTACCTCCCAAATGGGTTGATGGAGTAGATGAAGTAAGTTGAATTTTTAAGTATTACATTAGCTTATTTAAAACTAGTGTCAAATTGCATGTCTAAAATATATTTGGGTGAATATGCTTCTTGTCTAAGAATGTTTAAAGCTGCTTCCAGGCTTCAAGAATAACAGTTCTTATTTGTGGTAATTTGGACTTTATTTGTAAAACTAATGGTAAATTCCTGAATCATGATGAAGAAAGCTTTGTATGTAATGTAGAGAAAGTATTCAGTGTAACTTATCCCCAGAAATTGTTAGTGTGACCTATAACTTTAGTACACATGCATGAGTGCCTATTATGTTACCTAAGCTGACATTCCCTTCTTTTAGTGATGGTGTATAAAACCAGCCCACAGTGCATTCACAGTGTATTTACCATTGTCCATTTAATTCATAAAACATTCTTTGTTTTTCATACCTTCCTATCAGTGAGCATTTATTAAGTGCCTTCGATAGTTTAGATACTGTGCTAGGTACTTACAGATACCAGGAATGAAACAGTCTCTAAAAGGACCTTATATTCTAACTAGGAAACAAGTACATATATATGTATATATAAGTATACACAGAATAAATATAAAGAGAATAAATACAGATAGATTAGATACAACATTGTTAGGGAAGGCAGGCATTAGCAGTTGGTGTCAGGGAAGGCTTCATGGAGAAAGTAATGTTTGAGCTATGTCTTAAAGGAATTGAGGGAGGCTGTGAGGTGGAGGTAGGGAGAAGGTGTATTCCAGGCATGAGAAACAGCCAGGGCAAAGCCATGGAAAGAAGGGAGATAGAGTGTGGTCATATATGAAGAGGAGAGAGGATTCTCTGAGTATGAGAGAGGGGGTAATATACACTGAGATTGGAAAGCTAGGTTGAGAACAGGTTGAGAAGGGCTTTGAAAGATAAGCAGAGCCGTTTACCTTTGTTCTTAGAGATATTAGGGAGCCTCTGGAGATGATTGAGTAGATCAGATCTGCACTTAAGGAAAACCACTTTGGCATTATATGGAGGATGGACTGAAATAGAAACTTGAAACAGGGAGACCAGTTAGGAGGCTGTAGCTGCAATAATCTAAATGAGATGTGATGAGGACTGAGCTAAGGTGGTCCTTGTGTGAATGGAGACAAGAGGTCAGATTTCACAAGCACAGAGGTAAAAACAACATGCTTCAGCAACACATTGGATGTGGCAGGGCTGGGGAGAGTAAGGAGTATGGGGTGAGGCCAAGATTGCAAACCTGAGAGACTGTAAAAATGGTACCTTTTGAGAGAAGTAAGAAATTTTGGAAGAATGGTAGGTTTGGGGGGATAAAAGACATAATTAGACATGTTCAGTTTGAGATAACTGTGGGACATGAAAACCTAGAGTGCATACATACCCTCCTTACCACTGCATCAGAGAATCCCTCTGTCTTCTACAGGAAGCCTTTCCTCATTTCCTCAACTGCTAGTGCCCTTTCTCTCAAACCACCTTGTTTTTCATTTATACATATATATGCTTGTTGTCTCCCTTACTAGTATATAAACTCCTTGTGAGAAGGGATCATTTCATTCTTTGTACTTGAATCCCCAGCACCTCTCTTGTAATTAAAAGGACTGAGATTGGATATATACATTAAACCCATAGGAATTGATGAGGTCACTGAGAGAGAAAAACAGAAGAGAACCCAGGAGAGAGCCTTGGGGAATACTCAAAAAAGGGGAGGGAGAGATGGAGAAAATTTGGGACTCAAAATCTTACAAAAATGAATATTGAAAACTATCTTTACATGTAATTGATATAAATGATCTTTGTATATCATAGCCACTGCTTTCATGTGATTTAGGCAAGAATGCCTGAACTTTTCATTTTTTATGTAACTAATAATCTAAAGATTTGTTGTATACAGTTGTCCGAGGAACTTTGTGACTTATTTCAATGTTGTTAATTGACTTCTGTCATTTAGATACAATATGATGTTGGCAGAATTAAACAGAAGATGAAAGAATTAGCCAGTCTTCATGACAAGCATTTAAACAGACCTACATTGGATGATAGCAGTGAAGAAGAACATGCCATTGAAATAACCACGCAAGAAATCACGCAGGTGAGTGTTCAAAAGATTACAGAAGAAATGTTTGTTTTTTAAAACTTAAGAAAAAAGGTACACTTTTGGAGTGACCTAGAGTAGGACATTCTTCTTAAGAATACACCAGATGAACCTCCAGAATTATCTCCTAGATTTGTCAAAGGATGCTATTAAATTTTATGTGTAATGTACCAAACAAAATTGACTTCAATTCCCTTTCCTTTAAAAAAATTTATATACAGCACTTGAAACATGTTTGGAAAATCACACTGTGACAGAGTATCATAGATCTAAAAGGTTTGGGAATCACTCTCCAGAAATCTCTAATGTCCTACCATGATTTCTTAATGAAATTTCATCTGGCTACTATTTTAACCCTCAGTATTTAAGATGATTGTTTTTCATTTGTTAAAGCATATTCAATTCATTTAATTGATAATTTAATTTCTGTATTAAGGCTTAGATTGTATTTCTCAAATTGACTCAAGTAGTATGAATAAAACATCTTAGATATTTTTCAAATATGAAATTTCATATCATATCAGTATTTCACATTAATAATTGCCTTTTGGAATTGTGAGTTTTTGAAAACCCTACTTAAATTGTTCCATTTAATCAATGAAGATTCTGCTTCCAGCTGTTTCATAGATGTCAGAGAGCAGTGCAGGCCTTGCAAAGCAGAGCACGAAGCTGTACTGAACAGGAAGAACGAGTCCTCCGAAATGTAGTATCCTCTTTAGCTCAGAATCTTCAGGAATTATCCACTAATTTTAGACATGCACAGTCTGGCTATCTCAAACGTAAGTGTCATTTCAGATGCAAGAACTTGATCCCTATATTTTTCAGCGGTAAAATGATCTTGGCTATAAAACTACAAGAAGATATGTTCATTGGTTTTATGGTTGTTATTTCTCTGTCTTCCCTGTTTATATTTATTAGTTTTGAGCATGTATGAAAGCTATGCCAAAAGAAGTGTTGACCATTCTTTACTTGGAAAGAATCAAACGAAATGGCATTACTTATGACAACAAGAAAGATTACATAGCTATGTTGGCACTGTAATGGTAAAACCTCATTAGTATAATTTTAAGTTAAATCTAAAATAGAGGTGGGGAAGGGGCTGGGAATACAGTGGAGAAAAGCTAGAAAGAATTATCCAAAGTTGTTAGCCCACTTCTCAGTTGCTGTACTGAAAAGTAATGGTGTATTTCTTTTAAAAATCCAAGTTTTACATAATAGTTCAGTAACAGACATTGAAAGAGCACTTACCTCATATGTGCATAGATTCTAAAAAATATTATCACCTTGCTTTCATGCAGCTTATAGTCAAGAATGGATGAATAAAACATAATAAATGAATAAATAATAATAATAAATAATACATGAATAAAACAATAAATAAAACAAACTAGAATGTAATAACTGCAAAGGAGAAGTTAAGTAGGCATGAGATTCAGGTAGCAGGAGAGCACTTTTAGTTAAAGAGGATGAACAAAGGAGATCTGGTGCAGACTTTAAAGGACAATAGTCACTTGTGGAAACAATCTGTTCACGAGTAAGATTAATGTATCATTCTTTCAGTAATTTAAATGCCTGTTTTATGATCTTATTTATTCTTCCCATTTGCCCGGCAAAAAGTAAACCTCAGCTCAACCTCTCTAAATTATTGCATATTCCTACTTAGTAGGGTACTAATTAATGTGATTATTGATCTTATTGTTAGAAACTTTAACTGAACAGTGATATTTAACTTCTGGATTTACTTTGATAATCTAAAAATTACTAAATATTTCTTTTTGTCTCTTGATTTCCTGTTTGGAGATAACTTAAAAGTGCCCTCCTAAAAGTTCATGTTGACACTATAGATTTATTCCATTTCTTAAGTGTAGAATATTTTCAAAATGATGTTAAATATTTTAGTAAGGTAGCTTCATATCTCCAATAGGCATGAAGAATCGAGAGGAAAGATCCCAGCATTTTTTTGACACATCAGTACCACTCATGGATGATGGAGAGGATAACACTCTTTATGATCGGGTGTGTTAAGGACCACAAAGTTAATAGTAATTCACTAGCACTTTTTCCTTTCTTTCTCTTTTTAAAATATCTGATTTATAATATGTTTAACATGATTGTACACGCATAACCTGTATCAGATTGCTTGCTTTCTTGGAGAAGGGGAAAGGAGAGGGAGAGATGGAGAAAAATGTGGAACTCAAAATCTTATAAAAATGAATATTGAAAACTATCTTTACATGTAATTGGAAAAAAAATACTATTTTTAAAAAGAAGCTTGAGGTCTGTAAACAGAAGCTAGATAGCTATTGGTGAAAATAATAAAAATACTACCCTACAAAAAAATTTAAAATACCTGATTTCTATTCAGTAAAAAATACATCAGTAATGTTTTTACACAGTCATGAGGTAGTTTTTTACAATGTGCTATAAGATAAAGGCAGGGGGGGCGGCACGGGGTGTTGGGTCCAGAGAAAAGCTGGCTCTGATGTGATAATTGTACTTTTGCTTTCCTGAAAGCATTCCAGAAAATAGTCTACACTAATTTCTTCCTTGTGAATAAAGCAAAGAACCACAAGGTCACTCTTAGTGGTTTATTTCAAAGTTGGCTTTGCGTAGGGTAATGCACGCATGTAGGTGACTTGGGTTTACTCTGGTAATCCAGGTTACAATTCAGTACTCATTTGGAGCCAGTATGCTTTGTCAATTTGGATCTTTTCCTAGTAAGACTTATACAATGAAATCCATATACTTACCTCAAAAGCATGTTTTAAGCGTGTACACCACTTACATAATTTAGGCATAATATAGTATCTTTCCTTTATTAAAGAGGAAATCCTAACCTACAAGTCTCTTTTTTTTCTTTTCTTTTTTTTTCTTTCAACAGGGTTTTACAGATGACCAGTTAGTGTTGGTAGAACAAAATACATTAATGGTTGAAGAGCGAGAGCGAGAAATTCGCCAGATTGTACAGTCTATTTCTGACCTAAATGAAATATTTAGGGACTTAGGAGCAATGATTGTAGAACAAGTATGTGAATTTATCTTCTCATTGTCTTATATTCCTTCTGTAATACCTAATCCTCTCTAGAGAACTGGTTGGTTCTGACATCTTTCAGCTATTATTTTTTCCACTGTATGAGCTTTCTAGTTTTGGCAGGTTATTGCATAATGGCTGCTGGAGCCACTACCATTCATATATAGTTAAAGTGATGATTCATCATTGATAAAATTCTTTAGGAAATGGTATTTAGGCCCTGATCCATTGTGAAGTCAGCTGCTGAAAGAGATTTAGAGCTATAGAAAATCCAGGTACAATAATTATTTTAATAATTTCAAATAAACTGATATCATTTCCAGTAAAAAAAATGTTTCAATTAAGGGCCCTATCGTCATAGTACATCAGCTTCTTTCCCCCATTTTATCCAACAATTGAGGCAATTTTTGAAAGAAAATTAGGCTTTCTAAAACAAAATTATTCATTTTTATGGTGGTGGGTTGTGCCTTGAAATCTTTAGTTCTTGTATGTGGAAGGTGGGGTTTACATTTATTGCATTTGGTGGCATTGTAGTAACCATGTCTGGTTTTGCTGGTATTATCTGTTTAAGAACTTATGAGCACTAATGCTCTTTTTCTAAGCCAATTCCTACTCAATTGTGTATTTGACAAAGCTTCAGTAAGTTGCCACTGTCTTTTAGGATTTAAATTTTTAAAAATCTGTTTGTCTTTGCTTGTGAGCTATATGATTTTACTGTACGTAACAGAGTAAGCATGATTCTTTATGCTGATAGATAATGGTGATTTATCCATATTTCCCCCAAATCATACTGAAGCTTTCAGTTAATATTTTTTAAACGTAAGGAATTGGTACAGCTAACTTTGTTAATAATACCTGTGTTTTACAAATTTTACTTTGAAGTTCAGTTTTTAATCATTAACTTTTATTATTCAGGGGACAGTCCTTGATAGAATTGACTATAATGTTGAACAATCCTGTATCAAAACTGAAGACGGTTTGAAACAGCTTCAAAAGGTAAAGGGAGAGACTTTTAAAATAATGTTATTTTAGTGGTTGACACAGTTTTAAGGATAGTCACCAAATGAAGAATTATGTCAGTGGCTTTTTCAGCACTCACATTCTTGAAGTATTTGGTGCCAATGTCTGTTATAGAAGTATCACAAAGTAAATCTAGAGAATTCTGACAAGTCTGTAATCCAGGAATCACTTTATCCAAAGCCACCCCTGGATCACTGTACTTTTATCTGCCCTTAATGATCGCTGGTGAACCTCATGCTCAGATCTGAAATTACTGTGCACTTAGGAGCATGACAATAAAAACCCAAAAGGGTTGCAATTTTTTTCCCCTTAAAAATGCATTCCTTTTTAAGCCTGATTATTTTTTTTAAACAAGTTGTTTCAACATTTGTTGAAGTCTCTTGAAAAATCTATCTTCATGATTGCTGACTCAGACTTTTCTTGTCATGGAACATTTCTGATGAATTGCTGGCAGAGAAATAACTTCTGCAGAAGATCAGAATCTAGTTTTTCCCTTTTAATTGCCACAGCATATCTCTGTATTAGCCTGAGAAAAGTAGGTTAAAGTGGAATACTGTTTGTTCTCTAATTTTTTTCACATAAGAGAGCAGTATGGTAGATTTTCTTGTATTTGTTTATTTTTCTTATGGATAGGGTGGGTCTCCTGCTCTGCTTCTAAATCTAATCAGTTATGGGAAACAGATGTGCATAAACTGCCAAGTAAATTTCATATTTCGTTGAATGTATTTTAAAAATAAAGTGTGTGACTATTCACGAGTAAAATTTATTACTTCCATTTCCATGTGCACTATCAGTAATATTTCCAGCCATAAAATAAGCCACTTTTTTATTTTCAGTACCACTTTGTCATATTTCTGAAGCCAATCATTTTTTAGAACAGAAAGGAGTCTTACTCATAGTAGTCTGAGCGTGTTCTGTTTGTTAAAAGTTTGCAACCCACTCAGAGCTCTTGTTACCATATGCTTGGTGAGAATGGGGCTGGTAAAAATATGTCTTTTTGCTTATCTAGAAGATAACATCTTCCTTGGTATGATGCAAAAATCCATTGACTTAGGTTAACTTGGCCATCAGCCATTATATAATAAAACAGTAAACACTGGCTTTGGTTCCTCATTATATAATACCTAAATTTAGAAATTTTTCTGAATTTTGCAAGGCTTTAGAGGCATCTCATCTTGAATGGGACTAGCAAAATAGATTGTACAATACAAGTAGAATAAAACACTAGGGCTTCTGAATTGGACTAGTTTTGAGTCTATTTAACGTTGACTTCTCTAGCATTGCGTTTTTTTTCTTTTTATAGTATGGAAACTCTATGCATTTGATAATATATTACCTTTGTATATATGAGTGATTGGATCCTAACTAAACTCACAGGAAACTGATTTATAAGAAATCACAGGACTGATTTATAAGTCAGAATGCCGTTTAGTTTATAAGTTTATGCCAGTTAGTTATATGAGTCAGAATGCCATTTAGTCTAACCAGTTTTGCTCTGGGGGTCACCTGCTTCTGTTTGTAGATCTCTCAGAAGGCCAGGTAACAGTTCTGATAATTTCTCAGTGGACATGTAATTAAAGAAGAGGCAGTTGGGTGTTCACAGGTGTTTTCATCAAGCTTTTGTACTTTGTGAATCCCTCTTTTCTAAGGTAAACCAGGACCAGTGTCCTAGAATTGGGGCATTCTGGTCCCTAATGTCAGAGTGCATTATTCCCATTTTTCTCTTTTTTTTCCCCTCACAATGTTCCTTACCAAGTCTCATTACAATATCAGTTCCTGAAAGGCAGTTTACAGTTAATTAGATAACAGTTTATCTTAACATCTGTCACATTTTAGATTGCAGTCTCCTTCTGGGATTTAGGAAATATCTTTGATGAGCTTTAAGAGAGGCCCTAGTCTCATCAGCAAGATAGTTTAGAAAGCATTTCTCAGGGTGGTTTATTTCTGCAGGTGGCTAATCTCCATTTAATTCTTTTTAGCTTTAGCTCCCATTTCAGGGAAGAACATTTTCTGACCTCTCCTATATGTAGAGTAGGAGAGAATTTCATGTTTTTGTGAAGTAGATGAAACTTTTAATATTTAAACATTAATCTAAAGAATTATACAGTTTACGCTATTATGCAAAAAGTTTTGTTAAAGTAGTAAATTGATAAGGACAATGAAAATAGAAACCAAGGGCATCAGCGTGACTTTCAATTTAGACTCTGAGCTTTAGGAAATTTAGGTTAAATAGATTGTAGAATTAGTGAAGTGTTCCTTTTATAATATTACTTGGGTCAGTTCCTGGATTATAACCATATAGCCTGAAATTAAGATCTCTCATATTAAAATAACTGGAATTTAAGAATGCAAGAGTGTTGATAAGTCAGCATTTATTTTGGCTCTTTTGAAAAGTCACTTACTGGATTTTTTTCTTATTCTATAGGCAGAGCAGTATCAAAAGAAGAATCGGAAGATGCTTGTTATTTTAATTTTATTTGTAATAGTTATTGTCCTTATTGTTGTACTAGTTGGTGTAAAGTCACACTAGGTAACTCTGCGTGTGAGAGAGAGAGAGAGAGAGAGTGTGTGTGTGTGTGTGTGTGTGTGTGTGTGTGTGTGTGTGTGTGTGTGTGAATTTTCCCAGTGTGAATGAGTGGACCTTTATTTCTGAAAGCTGCCTTTGAATGTATAACCCTCAGTGGTACAAGTCTGTGCAATGTTTCCATAGATTCTTTTTCATAAATCATGTTTCAGTGATAGGAATGGTTTAGTTTTTGCCAACAGAGAATTTCAAGTCAAATGATGATGCTACCAAATAGAAATTGAGTTCTGTATCCAGACATTCACAGTATTTTTTTAAAATTGAAAATATGAGGGATTGAAAGTTTACAAGCACAGGCAAAAGCTGTTAAAATATATGTATATGCTTTTTAGCAGTCATATGTCTGAGTTGCATGTTCAAAATACTTTTTGAAATTGAGGTTGGGGGGAGGTGTTTTTTTTTTTAAACCATGTGTTTTTAAAGTGATTTGGAACCAAAAAGTGTGGTTGGAGGTCAAATGCCTTAAACAGTGGATTCTAGGTATTTAACATCTTCATTTTCCTCCACAGATTATCCATATTAAAATAAATTAAGGCCTTTAAAAATTTAGAATTCATTCCCCTTTAATGTAATGTAGTTTTCCATCATTGCTAATGATCAGGTTAATAAAGTTTGGATACTAAGAAACAATCATGGATACAAATACATTTAGCTGCTAGTTAAACAGCTTCATGTATTTAAATGAATTAGTCTATGTGTGTCCTTCATTTTAGAATTTCTGCACTATATTTTTTTACTGTAAACCACATGGTGTTACTGTTTATAGCTACCCAAGCTGAAAATTTGATGCTATGAATTAAAATCATAGTTAAAAGGAAGCTCCTCAGTTATTCTTATTCATTCCATTATTTAATATACCAGCTATAGGATGACTTTCAAATCAGGATCTCTTTAATCAATTAGCAGTTTAGCCCTGTTGAGTTACCAAAGTACAATTCAACCATGGATCACTAACGGAACGTGTGCTGTCAGTGGTTATTACCTAAGAGCTAGGTTCATTTTAAAGTACTATAAAAATCTTGACCAAGACATTTTCTTATCTATGTGTGGCAGATTTCTAAAGGAGGACTTCATAGTTGTACTTACTTTTGTTGATATGGTGCTGTCAAATACTACGGAATCATAGAACGATGTGATGAGTGATGACTTTGGAGAATTAAATTCTTCATGTTCTAATTGGTCCTGAAATGACTGTACAATTTTAAAGGTTTTCACCTAATGGAGTATTTATATGACCCTTATTTATTCTGTACTTATTTTCTTGAAGGTTTAAAAACAGTATAATTCCAATTGAGTTGGGTTTTTTTTTTACTAGTAACATGAAATGTTCTCCATAGAATTGACTTTGAAGTTATTCCCAGAAACTTAAACTCAGGTTTAGAGTGCAGTAATATTATATGTGTGACTAAATCATAAAATTAGATCTTATATTTAGCATTATAAACCTTTGCCCTATCCACTCCCATTTCACTCCTAAATTGTTTATGGATATAGTCAACCACTCATTAGATTGCCTTTTGACTAAGGTGACAATAGAACACATGTTGTACCTGACATTCCAGGAAATAGCATCTTTTGAAATGTGGCCATGATTCTTCTATAATTCTTCCTTCATAGATAGCTTTTTTGTTATGGAAGAACTGCCATTACCCCAAAACTTGGAGCTTCTTTCAATTTCTAGAATAACTATTCTTTAGTTTATTAGACATGGTGTTTAAGGTGACCGTTGTTGGAAATTCTGCTTTTGGACATGAAACCAGTTTGATGGAAAATTCTCCTAAAAGATACAGACCACAAGAACATTTCTTGGAATACTTGTGAAGCTTGTTTCTGTGCATTCATCTGTCTATAAAGTCAAATCACAGTAGTCTTTAAAGAAAATAGCTCATTTAAGAAATAAAAACCATTTATTTTCAGAGAGTAGGATTTTTTCCCCAATATGGATTCACGAAGTAATCAGGATTTCCCATTTTTAAAATATTCCTGATGTGACAGGGAGGGAAAGCCATTTCCTTTAGACTTTGTGAAAACTAGGATAAAAACTAAAGTGTCAACTGCTTGATTGTGTCTGGCTTCAGAAAGAGGCAAAATAGTCACATGGCAGGGAATAAATTAGAATTTGGCCTCAAGAACTAGTGGGTTTCATTGTAGGCAAATGAAAAAAATTTTTTCCAGTATACCCTGGACATCAGAATACTTTATATGCTACTAAGCCTGTACTTGAGGAAAAATTACTTATAATTTGGGCAGTAAAATAAAACTATCTTGTACTAGTGAATCAAAATAATATTTTTTCCTGCAAAATGAGATGGCATTAATCATCTTCATTACTTTTTAACAACCATTTTCTGTATTAAAATTAGCCTATCTGATTTCTAGCTTCCATGTTGAAGTTGGGCACAATTGACTGCCACAAAGAATAAGACATTCTTTTGCCTAGAATTGATTGATTTCTTTTGGTTGGGATTGATGACATATAGGTTATGCTTATTCTGTCCTGTACCCAGCCTCAGGGTGAAAGCTTAATTCGTTGCTTAGGGTAACTCATCAGTTTCATTGACTGACACTTTTAAAGTTAAAGAAAAATTGGAGAGGGGGCGCCCAAATAATGTTTTGTTTGACTCTTATCCAGTGTTGATACCGATGCTTTCCAAGATGGTAAATGAAACTACTGTCTCCGTTTTGTGGTGTTACTGGTTACACCATGCAGTGTAAAGCAGTATGTTGCTCTGATTTAACGTATTTACGTCTTTCTTTACTAATTGAGAGTCTTTATTTATTTGTCTTGACACAAGTACTTTTGATGTTTTTATCCTAGCTAATGATTTCTTAAAGGTAATAAAAGCCTTACAACTTGATTGGTCACAGATGACTTTTTTTCCTTTGTGTAAAATAAAATAATTAATGAAGCACTTAATATTTCCAAGATTAAATTTTTGTCTATTTTTATGAATTTGCCATTCCTGAGAGAGATTTTGTACAAATAAAGCAATCATAGAGATGATGGACCATTGTTTTGAAATCCTAGTATTAATTTTAAAGGTGGTGGGAGGGGAAGGGCTATGTCAGTTTTGTAATCCTCAAGAATACCCAGGCTATGTTGTGACTAACCCTACTTGTGATCAAGTATTCTACAAAGAATCTGACTCCTGATACATTGGAACAAATGTTACAGAGTAAATTCGTTTAACTAAAGGCGACATTCAAATATAATTCTCCATTTGATAGGCAACACAAAGGAGAGGAAATTACTTTTATACCAGAAAGTTGTTTTATGTAAAAGAATTTTATCAGGCTGAGAAATAATTGAAAAGCTTGATATAAAACTCTGCCATTGAGAACCGTATTCAGAAGGGTTGAAAACAATTATAAAGCAGAGTTCGTGAAATGTTTTGAGCAATGAAAGTATTATTAGAATAAATGTTTAGTCTTCCCAGGAACAAACTTTAAAAGGAACTATTAATTTAATATGTAGGCACTGATGATATATTTATAAATATTTGATCATATACTTTGTCCCCCAGGTATGACAGTAAACTTAGTTTGCTCAGTCGTATATACAGGAAAGTTTTTCAGAAGCTTTAATTAGTTCAGCATAAAATACAGACTTTCCAATTTTATATTCACTTATTAAAATTCCCCTTGATTTAATAGAATTTTTAAGAGTTGGAAGAAGGGCAGCTAGGTGGTACAGTGGATGGAGCACCGGCCCTGGAGTCAGGAGGATCCAAGTTCAAATCTGGCCTCAGACACTACTAATGTGACTATAGGCAAGTCACTTAACCCCAGTTGCCTCACCAAAAAAAAATGTGTGTATATGTGTGTGTAGAAAGCTTTGAAGTAATATGGTGACTTGTTTCAGAGTAACATTGAATGCTAAGACTTTTTTTCAGTTCAATTAATAATTGTTATTTGAGGCCCAGGAAGAAATGGAATATAGAAATCACTGGTAGGCTGAATCTCCTAACTCGGCTTGAAAATTCAGGGAAGTTATTCAACTGGTCTTTGACTAGATTTCCTTAGAATACTAAAGGAAATTCTAAAGAGTCAGATAACTGGAGATGGTGTAATTATCTGGATAATGTAAGCCAAAGAAAATAGTTTGCCCATTTCGCTAAATTGGCTTTCTAAGCTGCCCTGAACTCCTTGGATAATGTAGTGGGATAGTATAACAACACTTCAGCTACATAATTGGGCCAAAGTGAACTATTTCAATAAAGCCTTGTTTAAAGCAATGTGGGTTTCAATTGGGCTAATTTAAAATGTCACTTCACATAGCACTTTCTTTTTCACTGGGTATTTCACATTTGGTTTTTAGCCATTTGTCTAAATACTACTACAAGTTAATTACTGTTCATTTATCTGCCATTCTTTGTCTCAAGATGCAAAATTTAAGAAATAAAGGCTTTGTTTAACTATATGTCCTTTGCCCCCAAAATATGTTACTTCAGAATAAACCTCATTTTTTTCTGGCATACCATTTTAATTGTTGAAATTCACTAAAAATTAAGTCCCTCTTCTTCACTTCCATATGGGCCTCCCCCTCCCCCCAAACAAAGATTATTGTACAAGGTATATAACCTGGAAAAAACCTTCAAGACGTTTTTCTTACTGCAAGCAAGTTTGTAAAGCCATTGTTCAGGCCTGCTACTTCTTATGGTTTTTTTTAAGATGAGATTATTAGATGAAACTGATAGAGCAAAAATGACAGTGACTGTCATTCCCACTTATATTTTTCATGTAGTTATGGTGTATAACTGCTACTGACATCTTTGCAGACATCAAAAAATGGTCCTCTTGTGAATGTGTGTATGTGTTAATGTGTCTAAAAGGCTTATATGTATGTATATACATAACATCCTCCTTGAATTGATAATGTTATGGATTTAAGACTGTGAATAATAAAAATTTGTTCTATGTAACCAATTTTACTTTTGTCTAATGTAGCATTCATCACTTTGAGATCTATAAATTTTGATATATTTTGTTTTTACCCTTGTATTTTTCACAGTACTTAGTATAGCACTTTATACTTTGGTGCTTAATAAATATTTTTTTTAATACTGAGGCATAAATCAGTGGAAAATAAAGGTTAAAATCATGGTTTTATGGAGCTATGTACAGTGGAGGTCTCTAATCAGTCACTGAGAATCTTGAAGTCAGCCTTTCCTGATCAGTCTCAAATTCACCACTGTCCTACTTTTCCCCTCTACTTCTAGTCCCCAGAATTTTGTCTGGTTTCTCATCATGTAGGGAAATACAGCTATATCTGCATCTTACCAATCTTGCCCCCCCACACCAACTCCTTTTTGTAGTTCAAGGCCTTTAATGATGTGCATGCTCTTATGGTAGCAGGAAGAGATGTATAATCTTAGGCCTTTAGGAAAAGGGAGATGGTGCCTCATTTTTTTTTTAATTGGAGATCCCTGGTGTACAATGTATGTCTTTAATTGCCTGCATATTGTCTTTAACGAGATGTTCTAAAATACATACATGTGTATATAAATATATAACAAAAACAAAATATAGGTTGTTATAATTTATTCTGTGGATTAAGTTATAGTTTATTCTGTGTTCATACCCTGTAAAAAGAGATGCTTTAAGATGTCTTATATGGTTCTTTGAAAGTGTTAGTGTATTGCTGAAAGTATAGAGTATTAACTAAAACTATGATAGTATTGCTAAAAACTTTAAATTTTCTGTTATCACACTAAAGTTAGTTCAGTTGGTTTTTGTAAATCATTTAGTAGAGACATAATGGTTGACAGTTGCATAGCATTTTACAGGCACACCCTTCATGGGATTAGCCCCATGAAGGTCTTCACAATAATATTATTAATGTTTATGTTTCAGTACTTCAGGTATCCATGATTTCATTGAGCCAGTTACTCCATCCACCTGTACAGCTCACAGTCTCTCCATGCCTTGGTTTTGTGAATAGCACTCTAAGTTAACCTAAATGGTTCATGGTTTACTGGTCCCATACAAGTTAAGCCCTTCTAGCTTGGTAGGCCCTCCACTGACAGAGCTTTTCAGAATTCAATATCACCTCCACACCAAAAGGAGGCATTAGAGAAGAACCATTAATAAATTTTATCAAAATCTTGCCATTTACATTAAGTTGTAAAGTTCACTATAATATCATCTGACCTATCTTCCATTTATACATTGTTATGGAACTGTCCCCTGTATTGCTGTTTTGCCTAATGTATTTTCTGGTGTTTTTTTTTTACCTTTGTGTTTAATTAACAGCTTTAAGCAGAGCACATTTATTAACATTTATGATCCTCACAGCCATCCTGTAAGGTAAGTAACACAAGTAACGTTATCCCAAAGCAGTTGTGGCATGGTGGATTAAGTTCTGGACTTGGAGTTGTGAAGACCTGGGTTCTAATTGTTCTTCAGACACTTAATAGTTATGTGACTCTGGTTGAATACATTTCTGGGCCTTAGTTTCTTCATCTGTAAAGTGACAGAATTGAACTCAATGATTTTTAAGAGTCCTTCCATCTCTGAATCTATGATTCTATGATTCTCATTTTGCCAGAGAGCTAAGTGACTTACCCAAGGCACCACAGCTAGTAAGATGCCAATCTGAGATGTGAATACTGGTCTTCCAATATGGTACCTGCTAAACCACCTTCCTTTCAATGCCAAATGAAGTCCAGTATTGGACTCAGGTCAGAACCTGGCATTTTCGCTAGTATTGCAGTATAGATGGTTTTGGAGTATAGATGTCGAATTTGACCTATATATATATATATATATATATATATATATATATATATATATATATATATATATATATATATATATATATATACACACACACACACACACACAGCTTTCCAGATTCCTTGATCACAAAGAGGGAAGTATTTTCTCATTCTGCTGAAACGGCGTAGGAGTGGGCCAGGGGCCAGTGTAAAGGATAGATTTAGAATCAGATGACCTAGTTTTGAATCTTAGCACTAACTGCTACTGTGTGGCCTTAGTCCAGGCTCTTTTCTGGGCCTCAGTTTCTCATCTGTAAAGTGAAGGAGGTAAGACCTCATGAAAGGTCCTTTCTAGCTTGAAATCCTATGATAGTATACTAAAAAATCCCCAAATTGTACATACCCTTTGTCTCAGCAGTACCACTATGAGACCTATATACCAGGATGGTCAAACATGGAGAAAGGCCCCATATGTTGTACACACGTTTCATACACATGTAGCAGCGCTTTTTTGTAGTCAAAGTCCTGGAAGGAAAAAACATGTACAATAATTGGAGAGTGGTCAAGCATGTAGTGGTTTGTGAAAGCAATGGAATATTGCACCATAAGAAATTTTTTAAAAAAATTTCTATTTCGAGAACCTTGGGAAGACCTGTGTGAACTTCTGTGGAGAGAAACAAGCAGAAGCAGGAGAATAATTTAAATGACCATGGTAATGTTAAAAAATCACATTGAATAGCTGAAGAATTCTGATCAGGCTGGTGACTGGTTGTGACCTAAGAGAACTTGATAGTGAAGTCTTTGGCACCTCAGCAGAGAGGTAGGAATTGTAGATCTAGAACAAGAAAGTACGTTGTAGGGCATCTAGTCCATACCCATCTTAGAAGTGAGAAAGCTGCAACCAAAGGTAGCTAAGTAATTTGGCCAAAATCACATAGCTTGTGTCAGGGGCAGGATTTGAATTCAGGTTCCCTCACTTGTGTCAGTGTTTTTTCTACTGACAGTGAGCTATAGGTACATAGATTTTTCAGACATAGCCAGTATTGATTTGTTTTGCTTAATTGTACTTGTTTGTTACAAAAGAGGATTCTGTGAGGATATAAGAAATCACTGGCAAGTGATAATGATGTAAAAAATATCAA